GGTGATTTGCCCGGATCCTCGTGAAGACGAGACCTGGACGGTGCGGTCGGTTTCGGAGTGTCGGATCCTCGGTCTCGGTGACGGCGGTCTTCAGACGGCAGAGACGATGCGCTGGTTTGATTGACCACGCTGGTTTGGGATTGGAATGGGGACGTCACGAAGGAACAGGTCAAGATGGGTTTGAGAAGGTGCGATTGGAACAGACGCAGTAGATAACAATCAGTGACTGGTCACCAAGTGACCGTGATGGTGGGAATTCTATGTCAGGTTTGGCTGAAATGTTGGTAACCAGGACAAGAGTTGGCAACGAGCCTCTGAAGACTTGTGCAACGCACCCCTCACAATCCTATACCAGGACCCGACTCTACAGGTCATCAATGGTTCGACCTGAGACAGGGTCCAACAACCCTCAACTAACAGCCTGGCCGAGTTCGGGTGCTGGTATATGTCAGGATGACAGAAATCTGGACGGGCTCTCCAGTTCGCAGCGGTCAGACTTGACACCGATGCGCTTCGCCGTTGGACGCACCGAACGTGCCATCGCCCCAGGCCTCTGCGCCATTGCGCATCAGTGCCACGGTTACGATACGCTCCGAACGCCGGTTTTTCCTATACCCTGGGAGTCAAAGACTAAAAACTAATTGTCTTTCCCTAAGGATCTGCACCCGAAACAAAACGAGGGTTGGGTTCGGGGCCCCTTGTGAACTAGAGGGTTCAACCCCTTCTGAGGGTCCATTCGGATCCTTACAGTTTAGGTGACCCGAGTCAACGACTACCAAGAGAGGTGGAACAGCCCTATAGCCCGTCCCATATGTACCACAGACCAGGGTCCTATATGGTCTCTCAACCTCTCTTGGTATTCCACTTCGGTCAACATTTGGACTTCAAGGGTACGACCCCGGACGACGAGGACGAAGCGGAACAAAAACACTCTCCCAGACGCTCCAAACAGCCCTTGGTCCCTCAAAACCCTCGGGATTTGAGGGTCCGGACCCCTCCGGCCCCTACTTAGCAGGGTCCATGAGCGTCTGGGCTGACGATTTCCGGATGTCACATGGTGACGTGGATGGACCACGCGCTCCGAACCAGATCACCTGGCTGGACCTGGCTCGGGGTCACCTGGCTGTTGCAGCCGCCCCAGCACAGAGACCTATCCATGGATCTCTATGAAACACCCCGATGTGAAGGTCCAGGAAGATGACTTTCAATTGGAACCAGGGGGGCAATCTGACTTGGAGTGTATCTGCCGATGTTGAGCCAGGGGTTTGGGGTTGGGGCCAGGTGCGATCCTTTCCGAAGAGACTGGTCATGGGCGAACTCAGCACCCTGCTGGTCCGGAGAGTTCCTGACCTGGTCAACTCTGGAGTTCCTGGAGGTCGTAGTACAAACAAAACACGAGTTGGACAGCTACTTTTATTGTTTATGGTCATACCCGGCCATACCCATACTACCTCAGCACCTTCAGGATTAGTATGGTCATGGGAAAATACCCATCCGGAAAATACCTCAGACTCCACCCTCCACTGTCGTCATGCGTACATACTCCAGGAACCGACGATTTTCGGCGCCACCCGGTCGTGTTCAGTGTCAGTTCCTTTTCACTCAGTCGGATCACCGAGTCATCGTCCGACTGTTTTAAAATGTTTTAAACATGGTCGACTGGACGAAACCAGGGTACTCCACTCTGGAGGTCATCCACATGACTCATCCCATGACTCATACTCACACCCCTGAACCCCCGAACCTCGGGCCGCCCCGCGAACGAGGAGGCTATAGGTTCCCCACTTGGAGCCTTTAAAGATGGACGTGTGAGAAGAGCATCTTTTTCCGTTAGCTTCACGTGGTTTTGGTCATGCAACATGCTTGCCCTAGAAGTCCAGTTCGACTATATTTGACTGGCTGGAGTAAAGGAAGTTCCCTTTCAGTTCCCCTAGTCAGACCATTCTTTTTATAGTCGACTGGACTCCCAGGGCTTGTACAACAATGGATGCAGGAGGAGTCAGGCCATGAAATCGGTGGTTCCGACAGATTGGGATGGCTCTGCGCTGCGCCCTGCGAACTCCTCCTCGGCCCGAGGCTTCTTTGGAACTGATGCTGGCCTTCCATCCGTCACGGCCAGCTCAAGCTGCAGACTCACATGTGCGATTTTTGCTGGCTCTATCAAAGCCCTAGGGATCCAAGTACCTTCTCAGGTACGGTGATTGGAGACATTCTTATGTGGTTTTGAGGGTCCAAGTACCTTCTGAGAAGGTACGACTGGATCCCTAGGGAAGGGGATGGAGGAGAGGAGAGCTGTGAACATCTTATGTTGAACGCAGTTATACATTTGTTAACACATTGGGTTGCTTGCCACAGTAGCTAATGTCCAACAACTGCAGAAGAGGGTTTAAGCTTATTTGTGTCACTCAGACGCTCCAAACAGCCCTTGGTCCCTCAAAACCATAGAGACTTGGTCCAGGAGCGTCTCGGCACGTCAGACAGTTGTTCATCCCTGGCAGTTTGAGGGCCTTCTCCCGATTTGTATTAGACTCTTCGCTCGAGCGCTTTTTGAATCCATAGGTGGCATATTTATATTACAGTATTTATCCTTGGTGGTATAGGATAAATGCCAGTCAAATGCCTCACATTTGCCCCACTCCCCCTGGCCTCATGTGTTCCTGGTCCAAGTCGACACATAAACACATCCAACGAAGTCGACACATCCAACGATTGAATCCAATATCGACTAACCATGATCTCCAGGCAGACATGTTGCATTTCTTTGACCCGACTTCACAGGTCACCACCTGCCACAAGATGTGTGCCCTTCGTCTCCCTGTGGGAGTTCTGGTTCACAGCATCTGGTTCAGTCGGGTGCTGCTAGTTGGAAGATCCGCCACACACGGAATTCTTCTGAAAACTCCGAACCCAAACGCAGCAAACGCAGCTGTGCCGGGCATCGACTTTTCTCACCGAAGAAGAGACTGCTCGGTCTCCTCGCCATCTTGGGCGTTTGGGGGACTGCGAGCCGGTGGTGGACAGGGCGCCATTTGTGAAGAGCACCGCACTGGAGACAAAGGATCAGGTGTTGGGAGCAGGGTCGCGTGTGGGAAAAACACAGATTCTGGAGGTGCAACGACGCGCGTCTCCAGGTTTTTGGGGCAGAGGGACACCAATGCCTGCATGTACAACAGCTAATGCCATCCATGAATAGCTACGGAACGGTAAGCACACATAGAGTCAGAAGGACCAGGGGCGTTTGCATTCATTTTCTTTCCCATCGGAATCTATTCTAAGAGCTACCGGAACCCGGTATGGCTGGTGCACAGTGTGCTTTAAGACCACACACTTGCTGGCAGCGAGCTCCTGAGTTCACTGGCAGCGTGCTTTGAATAGAGCTACACACTCCAGCTACACGCGCGCCACGCGTTTGAGAGAACCTCCTTCCGGTCCATCATCACCCCAAATGGCGGGCGGAGACAGCATGAGGCGCTTTCCCGGATCGATCGATCCACGAACCCACAGAGAGGTTGAAGAACCCGATATCTAAGCTATCCCAGTTCGGTACCCCAGGTGACGGGTCCTAGTGACCTGGTCACTGGCTACCACCTCTGTTGGGAAGTCCAGTGAAAGGACGAGCAACTCTTGCTTCGCACCCGGACGAGACCATGGCGTTCAGGGACATGGATCCGGGATCCGGGATCCCGGAGCACCGTCTTCGGACTTCGTCGGACTTCGAAGCGGCTTTAGACCATGACACGGTCACCGCCGGCTGTGCTCGTCCGGACTCGCGACGACGAGGGCATCGGCGTCGGTGTCGGACGGTGCACGGAGGTGTCGACTGTGCGGCGTTTCCGTGCGCATGGCTCGGGCGTGGGTGGATGTTCGTACAACATTTGGTGCTCACTGAAATATGGTAGGGAGGTGTCACCATCAGAGCAGCTTCAAAAGCTTGGATTAAGTCTTAAGTGATACTGAGCCTAGTAATGTCAACTGTACTTGGCACAGCAAGCAATTTTTCACAACCCCCTCCCTGCACTTCAGCATGATTTCCAAAGAAGCTCCATTTTTGGTCCCAAGAAAGTCAGCGTCTGGCACTCTCAAGGCAGTCTCCATGCGTCCACAGGGTCAACGAAAATCATCGCCGCTGTGCGCTGCTGCTATCGCCAATGGGATGCGCTGCCGCAAAGGCGCCAGTGAAATGTCGTAAAGAGGGCTGCTGGAAGGAAGCCCACCCGACTCAAGGTCATGGATATTGCTGCTACGGATGCAGCCGAGGATGGGAATGTGGACCCCTTTGTACCAGTGTAAAAACACTGAAGTGTTGGCGTCCAGATTGCCAAAATATGAAGAACATCCGCGAAGGTCATGGATACTGTTGCTGGGGCTGCAAGAATAACACTGGGTGCACCTGTGGCAAACCACAGCATGCACAGGCAGGATCTCAGAAGTCATCAACCCCACATGCACATGCACCAGTTCCTCAAGCATCAGCCAGAGTGGACTTGCCTGTCGTGGTCGCTGTAGTGGTCGACACCGGTGGCGGCGGCAGTGGCGGCGGTGGCGGTGGCGACTGCGGTGGGAATGGCGGTGGGAACTGCGCGTGACGGTCACGTCTTCATTTCACCCCGAGATCCTGAAAGGACTCCAGTGGGGCTCACAGTGTGACTACTGTATAGTTTCTGGTAGTTTCACATTGTTTCACCTGGGTCATGCTGGGTCATCCAGGATGTGCCACCTCAAATCTGCAGTGTCATACCGCAGAGATCCGTTTCGATAGTTTGTACAGTACGTAATCGTATGTGCATCTACGTGCCATGTGCCAAAAATTGAACCTTGCCTCACGAAGCAAGATATTTCAAGACAACATCTGGAGGTGAAAAACACTGTCCCAGACGCGACGCTGGGCCCGAACCTATGGAGGGGTCGGACCCGAATCCTGAGGGGTCAGGGGTCTCAAATACTGCTTGGAGACCGGTCGGGCGTCGTTCACGGAGCGTCTGGGGGTGTCTCAGTCCGAGGTCATGGTCAAGGAGAGCAAAAGCAAACGGCTCAAGGCGCCCGGACGGACGGTGAGTCCCGTTTGAGTGGCGCCCGCCGGAAGGGAAGCGGGGAGGGAAGGTCGGGTCCGGAATCCAGGTCTCCCCAGTCCTTGGGGAAGACGAGCAGAGTGGTTACATGGAGGTTTCGGTGGGTGTTCTTCTTTTCCTCTATACTCGTACTCTTTATGTGATCCACCTTCTGGTACGTGGTACTTCTTGCCGAAGGAGCCGTTGGGACCAGAGGGTGTGGTTTCCTTTTTTTTTTTTGTCAGGCACAGTCTGGCTTGTTGTAGAGTGGAGTGTAGAGAAATTTGAGACATTGCGGGGTGGCTTTTTGCGCCAGCCACATCATAATCATAAGTACCTGCCTATAAGTAAGAAGTCCAATGACTCACTTTACCCCACCTGGAAGTCATAATCCACCACTGCCAGTTCGAGGTAAAATGAGTCATGACTGGACTCTCAGGGCTGGATCTTCCAACTTGTCTGCCGAAGTGGTCTTCCAAGAGAGGTGACGAACAGCCTTATAGCTATAGCCCATCCCATATGTAGCACTGGATCCCTGGGTCCTGGTTCAGGCTGTTCAACCTCTCTTGGTTGGAGACATTTTGCACAAACACTTGTCCGATCGATCGATATGTGATCGCTTCTGGTGTGGCACAGTCCCCCAGCTCTGATCTTTTGGTGCTTTGGATACCTCAAAATGGAGAGTTGTGATTTTGCGTGACCAACTCGAGTCAACGGTTTGGTCCTGAATGTCCTGGGGAAGCATTGTTTTACACTACTACTTGGCTTTAAGTCAACCCTTTTAAATTGGTCGACTGGACTTCCAGGGTAAATAGATTGGGTCTATGCCATGAAAAACACCAGGTTTTAGTGGATGATGATGGTGCAGTTGCAGGCCTTCTCATCTCCAAAATAGTGATGTTCTTGTCTACTGACTGTTACAGGTAATGGGACAAACTCAACCTATAGACTATCCCAGGTTGGGTACCCCAGTAATGACATCCTTTTTCAGGTGACTTCACCGACTTAACCTCTCTTGGCACGTGCCCCAAGCTACAATCCTAAACAAATCCTTACAGAAAAACAGGAGTGTCTGACCGGAATCCCACGGTTTTTTCGGCTTCTTCAACCTCTGGTGTTGACGTTTTTGTTGACGTCCAGCCTGCTGGGCACTGCAGGAAACAGCCGTCCAGGGGCTCCAAAGAGACGAGGGAGACGAAGACAGGTCACCTCTGGGGAGGAAGAGGAGCGAAGTTTGTTGGAAGAACATAGACTTCTCCTCGAGGTCAACAAGCAAGCAGCTGATATCAACATCTGAATCGGTTTTTTGAGCCATGGCGATGAAAATTTCAGCGCTGCAGCCAAGTGGTGAAGTCATGGTTCTTGAAGTCACGCCTGAGACAACAGGCCGGGCACTCAAGCAGCAGGTCAAGGAGGGACAGCCTTGGGACGAGCTCACTCGCCGCACTACAGCTGTCGAGGTAATTGTCGGAGACAACCACTTGCTGGACAACGACTATGCAAAGGTATCGGACTCTGGAATCACTGAAAATGCTGTTGTGAGTGTTGTCTTCAAGCCAAATGTAGTGATATGCTCCAACAAAGACGCGATCGCCAGTCTGGGTGGCATCGTTGACTGGGGACTGTTGCTTGTGGTCGAAATCCCAATTGATGAAACACACATTCCTGAACGCGCTTTTGAAGGATGCCGCACGTTGGCCAAAGTGACAATTCCGCACTCGGTGACCCACATTGGGAATAATGCCTTTGAAGGCTGCAGCTCTTTGGTTGACTTGACCATCTCGGACTCGGTGACCCACATTGGGGATTACGCCTTTCGGGATTGCAGCTCTTTGGTCAACATGATCATCCCAGACTCAGTGAGCTCCATTGGAGACTACGCCTTTCAGAGTTGCAACTTGTTGGTGAGCTTGACCATTCCCAACTCAGTGACCCACATTGGGGAACATGCCTTCGACCAATGCATCTCTTTGGCAAACTTGACCATCCCAGAGTCAGTGACGCACATTGGCAATTATGCCTTTCCATATTGCAGCTCTTTGGTGAGCTTGACCATCCCAGACTCCGTGACCCACATTGGGGAAGGTGCCTTTGCGGGTTGCACCTCATTGGCTAAGTTGTCCATCCCGGACTCGGTGATGCACATTGGGCAAGCCGCCTTTCAAGATTGCAGCTCTTTGGTAGACTTGACCATCCCAGAATCAATTACCCACATTGGGAATTTTGCCTTTGCCAATTGCACGTCCTTGGCAAGCTTGACCATTCCAGACTCTGTGACCCACATTGAAGATTATGCGTTTGCGGGTTGCAGATCTTTGACAAACTTGACCATCCCAGACTCGGTGACCTACATTGGGCAAGGCGCCTTTCAGGGTTGCAGCTCTTTGGTAGACTGGACCATCCCAGACTCAGTGACCCACATTGGGACTGGGGCCTTTCGCGGTTGTCAGCTGTGGACGAAAAAATAGTCTGGTCAAAAAAACGAAAGACGTTTGACGTCCCCAAAACGAACAGCATGCAGCAACCAGGACCTTCCAAGTCCGGTGGCTTTAGAAACCTAACAGGTGGTGAACCTGGGTACCGGGCTTGGAAACACAGGAAACACCCAACTTGGAGGGTCCAGGAGCAAAGAACAACTATACAAAACTTATAAGAGATATAGGCAGAAATTTAAACTATAAGACTAGCATAACTCCCATTTGCATACACCAGGCCCTTCCAACATGTCTCGGAAATGGAGGCTGTAGGCTGTAGACTTCAAAAATCGCAGGTGGTGACCTGGCACAGTCGGGTGCTGGTCGTGACCCTTTGTTCAGGCGAAACCCGAGCGCCGCGAGAAGCCCGCGGCGTCACGGCCTTTGGCGCCCCGCCCGGCGAGGCGCGACAAAAACAGCCTGGGGGGGATGGGCGAAAAGAGGGTGAATCCGCAGAAACCTGGGCGTCAAACTGGGTCCTGTAGCGGGGTCAAGATGGTCGAGGTTTGGACTTTCGAATTTGGGTGACAAAACCCCCAGCTCCAGGACTGTCGGTCGGTGTCGCTGGACCGACCCCTACACTGTCAGAAACATATTGAATGATATTTAGCCAGGAACACGCAGAACGAATGGTCCACATACTGTTCAGGTCCTTCAGCAAATCCAAGGGCAGGTGCGGTGTGGGTGCAGGTGTTCGGAACCCCCAGAGGCTCCAAACAGCTCGACTGGTCCCTCAAAACCTTACAGGGTCCAAACCCCTCCAGAGGATTCGGGTCCGACCCCTCCATATCAGGGTCCATGATCGTCTGGGCCTGCAGAAGTTGTGACCTTTTTCCTTTCGAAACGATTCGATCGATCTCGATGATCCGGTCGACCATGGGCGCGACGAGCACGACTGGACACCGCGACGACTGGTCGGACATATGGGTCAAGACAACTGTGCTTCCTGTCCTCTGGAATGTCCAATGTAGCATTGATTTAAGGGTCTGAAACCCAAAGAAGCATAAAAACCATCTTGCTTGACTCATATGAAGCATTTTACGCTACAAAAACAAGTCAACCATTCTAAAAATGGTCGACTGGACTTCCAGGTCTAACCTGCGGACTTCCATGATTGTTTCTGTGTAATTCGGTTTGTTCCACGTACCTGGTTTTCAAGTCTTCAGAGGGGCCAACGAAGGAGGATTGTCGCTTCATTTGAGCCCATAGACCGTCCCCTACACCTCCAGTCGTACCTCCTCCCCAAACCCCGAACCTCAGAAGGTACGACTGGAGGCCATAGACCTTCCAACTCAAATGCACGGCCACAACTTCCGCCACGTTGGTCGTGATGTTCTTCTCGGCCCTCAGATCGGCCACCACGACGGTCGACCGTGGACAGGCGTTGGACGTGGAGCTTAGGGTGCTTGGTGCTCTTGCAGGCCCGGCCCGCCGCCATCGCGTCCGGCCGCACGCGGCACCTGACCCAGCTGACGTCGAGTCAGTCCGCGGTCCGAAGATCCGAAGTCTGGTCCGAAGGTCCGGTGATCGCGGGAAACGAGGTGACGTGTTCGTTGATCTTAACATATTCTTTTTTGCATCCCTGGACCTTCAAGAAGGGGTGTCCTGGCTGGAAGTCTTAATTTTTTCAAGGGGCGAAACCAGCCAGGTGACCCCGAACTGAAGGTGCTGGTCTATTGATTCTATCTTGTTGCGTGTGTTGGTATATGTGTTGATCGGAGAAGGCCGGTGGTTGAAGGATGAAGGATGGGGTTCCTCGGGTCCTCCTGCGATTCTGATATTTGATGTATATGACATATCATATCATGGTATACTGTGAGCAATGAGTTGTCTCAAGATTGCACTCGATATGGCAGTTGCATCGAGTTGTTGAGTCTATAGTTTCTGCCGGGCACCCACAGCAAAACGGTACGGCCGTTGCTGCACAGGTGCGGTTTAGGCGGTTTGATGCACTTTTCAGAGATTTGCTTCCATGCTATCGAACACAGAAAACCCAAGAGCCACCCATGGCCACCCTCTCTCTCTCTCTCTCTTTTCTACAATGACTCTTCTTCAACCATCTTCAACCTTCAGTTGCATCTGACAGAGCTTTCTCTTTTCATCATTCGAAGTCCATCCCCTTGGCCACGAAGAGAGCGACATTGCTGTCCAGGAGAAGAGCGTAAACAGCAAAAGAAGGGAGGACAAACCTCCCTTTTCATGACACATGCAAGGTATTAAATGACAGCTCAAATTCTGCAACAAACCTCCAACTCCGAACGAACCCGAGGTCCGAACAAATCAAATGAAGACGTTCTGCACCACGTTGTTCCTTCTCGTTAACACTCAACGGTTCTGCGACTTCGTCGAATCATTCGCCAGGCAAAGGAAGCAAAGGAATCAAAAAAGACAAAGAGAACCACGGAATCCCAAAGACATAAAGGAACGTCATGTGTTGCTTGGTATATCATGGTGTTTCAGGAGCTGATGTTTCTTCAACGGCTGTGTTTTCTTTCCATGAAGTGCTCTTTATTTCTTCGTATATATGCTTGCTTGTTGTTGCTGTTGTCGTCCTTGTTAGTATTCTTTGCTGTTGCATAGTTGTTTGTTTATGTGTTGTTTGGTTGCTTGGCATCCCTTGTTTCTTTTGTTTTGAAAATCCCTTTTTCGCCCGTGTCAGTGTTGATGCGGTCCAGCACCCGGTTAGACTGCCAGTCTTTCACGAAGTCAGACGAACGGGTGGACCGGGCGGCATGGGTGTAGAGCTCATGGACGTCGTGTTTTCTATGAGCAACTGAAGTCAATATGAGGTCTTGTATGGTCTTGTCATCTGTGCTTTTAGCTCCGGGGACGGAGGAGCTAAAGCGAGGTGTGACTTTTGACATTTGATGTCTGTTCTAGGATTGGAAATGCATCCTCCAAGGAGAACAGCGTGAACTCTCGACTGGTCGGCATACACCAAAGCCACTCAACAATCATCCCGCATCCCAATCAGACCATGTTCTTCCGCTGATTTCGCCACCTGAAGAACCTCGACGTGGCCCCCCACATCGGGGGATGTGAGTCCGTTCGCCGACCGTGTGGAGGTCTGTTTGGAACTCCATCAACCACGCGGTTCGCTAACGATTTGCCCAAGTCCAGCGACCCAGTAGAAGACAGACAGGAACATTCAACTAAATAGCATGAAATAATCAATGAGATCCAGGTAAGCCCTAGTATTACACACCAAGCAAAGTAAGTCAACTCAAATTTAAGTCCGTAGTATTTTCAGCCATGGTGACCAAAATTTCAGCGCTGCAGACAAGTGGTGAAAGCCTGGTTCTTGAAGTCACGCCAGAGATGACAGGCTGGGCACTCAAGCAGCAGATCAAGGAGAGCAAGCGTTGGGACGACGAGCTCACTTGCAGCACCACAGTTGTAGAGATCATTGTTGGAGACAACCATTTGCTGGCCAATGATGCAACGGTATTGGATGCTGGAATTACTGAAGATACTGTTGTGACTGTGGTCTTTAAACCAAACAAAGCGATCTGCTCCAACCAAAGTGCGCTTGGTGGCATTGATGACTCTGAGCTGTTTGTGGTCGAAATTCCAGATGACGAAACACAAATTTGTGATTGCGCTTTCGAAGGTTGCGACAAATTGGCCAAAGTGGCCATCCCGAACTCAGTGACTCACATTGGGAATTACGCGTTTGCCGGCTGCAGTGCTTTGGCATACCTGTCTATCCCCAACTCTGTGACGTACATCAGGCGCAGTGCCTTTACAGGTTGCGAATCTTTGACAAGCTTGACCATCCCGGACTCTGTGACCTACATTGGGGATGATGCCTTTTTGCATTGCAGCTCTTTGGTTGACTTGACCATCCCGAACTCTGTGACCTACATTGGGGATTGGGCCTTTCGAGGTTGCTGCGCTTTGGCGAACTTGTCCATTCCGGACTCTGTGACCCAGATTGGTGACGCTACGTTTGAGGGTTGCAGATCGTTGGCAAACTTGACCATGCCGGACTCTGTGACCTACATTGGGGAGGGTGCTTTTTGGGATTGCAGCTCTTTGGTTGACTTGACCATCCCGAACTCAGTGACCCACATTGGGAATCATGCCTTTCTGTGTTGCAGCTCTTTGGTGAACTTGGCAATCTCAGAGTCAGTGACCCACATCAAACAGGAAGTCTTTGGTGGTTGCAACTCTTTGACAAGCCTTACCATCCCAAACTCCGTGACCCACATTGGGCCTGAGGCCTTTAAAGGTTGCAGTGCTTTGGCAACATTGACCATCGCATACTCAGTGACCCACATTGGGAATGGTGCCTTTCAGGGTTGCAGCTCTTTGGTGAACTTGACCATCCCGGAGTCAGTGACACACGTCGGGGAGCATGTTTTTGATGATTGCAACTCTTTGACAACGCTTAACATCTCGGACTCGGTGACGTACATTGGGAGTTATGCTTTTCAGAACTGCACATCTTTGACAACTTTGACCATCCCCAACTCTGTGACCCACATTGGGCCTTGTGCCTTTAAAGGTTGCAGTGCTTTGGCAACATTGACCATCGCAAACTCAGTGACCCACGTTGAGCAGGGTGTCTTTCAGGGTTGCAGCTCTTTGGTGAACTTGACCATCCCAGAGTCAGTGACCCACATTGGGGAGGGTGCCTTTCGGGATTGCCGCTCTTTGCTGAATGTGACCATCCCGGACTCAGTGACCCACATTGAGTGCGCTGCCTTTGGTGGTTGCAGCTCTTCGGCGAACTGGACCACCCCAGACTCACTTGAGTACATTGGGCTAGGTGCCTTTGAGAGCAGAGAGCGAAAGCGCAGAAGACACAGCTGAAGACGGAATGGGTATTTACGCTGCGCTAATTCGATGCAATCCATCTTGTTCACCCATCTTGCCAAACTCCAGGGTGAGTTTGGTTGCGCGCGGAATGGGTTGATCGTGTGCAATGGTGGAGTATAAACCATCCTTATTAGGTTCAAGAGTCGGGTCTCCTTTTTGTTGCATCCCTTGATATCATCTTAGAACCAGGTGGTTCTTTCATGCCTGGATCTTCAACTATTTCAACATGTTTGCCTTGGTTTGATTGATGAAGTCCGGCAGAAACATCTATTGCACAGTTGGAAGATCTATACCTAGCGGCCTACTGTAGCGCTTCCTGTCCTGGTGACCTATAATCAAGCAGTGTAGGGTTCTCCAGCCTGGTAACGGAAGCAGCTGGTAGGTTTTGTTTCCATCCCTTGAACCAGACTTCTTCCGCCGCTGGAGGCCCTGGCCGTTCTGGCTGTCTGGCCTTCGACTGAGCTGCCGCGACCGGCACTTCCCGCGCGCGAGCCGCACGTGGCAGTCCCCGCATCTAGTGAGGTGGGCAGCGAGTGAGGGGGGGGAGCAGGTGGAGCTTGGAATTGCACTGCGAGAGTTGGGAGCCAAACAACAACGACCTATGAATCCCAGACGCGAGCCCTGGGCCCGAACCTATGGAGGGGTCGGACCCGAATCCGAACTGGTCAGGGGTCTGGGGTCGAACCTACGAGAGCGCGTCGCTCCTTTTCTGCTGGTAAAAAGGGCTTCAGGTGCACCTAGTCAAACGTTCGTGACCCAGTTGGAAAATGCTACTCTTGATCATAGCCAAAAGGCCTTGACCTAGCAAACCGAACTTGGTACACTTCTTCATTTGTGCGGGCTTCCACACTCCCCCTAGGTGCTAGCACCTATTCGGAGCCGCACCCCGTTCAAAAACTTGGCCGTCCTTCCGGCCTCAGCTCAAGCCCTCCTCGTTCACGTCGATCGGAAGAGGGTGTATCCCCACCATGTGTCCAAGTGGAGCCCCTTCCTGCCGTTCCTCTCGTCGACCAAAATGGTCTTCCTCTTTCCAATCAGCGGCCACGCCACTGTCATCCTCCATCTGCTCCATTCTTCTTCCAAGAGGATCTTCGTCTCGAAGTCGTACAGCTTCTTCCGGGTCTGGTGATGTACCCGGATTCCAATCTTCTTTCCATCTTCGTGGTCGATCAAATACTCCCACGAGTCCTTGGCTGCTGTTCGCAGTGGTGGCGTAGAGATCACCTTGAGGACCGCTCCATTGATGAACCCCTTCTGGAAGCCCGGAGTCCTCAAGTAGTCCCACATCTCTTCTTCATGACACCACTTTCCCAGCACGATCCCCTCCTCGACCGTGGTGATCAGCCTCAGTGGTTCCACCCTTGGCAATCGACCTTGAGGCGGCACCTGCGAGATGGTCTCGCCCTCCTGGGGTGGTGCTTCATCTCCTTCGCCGCCATGTGCTCCTGGATCTGTCTGTCTTGGAGGTCCCCGGCCATCTCCCGGATCGTGTGCCACGAAATGCACCCCCTCCGAATCCAGCATCACCCAAGTTCCTCCATGGTTTCGCCGTGGACCTCGGCGAACCATATAGCGATCCCAAGCGCTGGGTTGGCCCGTCGTCTCTCTTCTGCCTCGGCGTCATAGGCCCCTCGACACCATAGTCCAGAATCGGGTACTCGAAGCTCATCAGAGGGTTCTTGATGATCAGGAAATAGCTCCCTCTGCTGGTCCATCTCGGTCTGAGTGCCTCGATGCCATAGTCCCGGAGCTTGTCCTCGATGTTGTCCTTCTGGTTCAGGCCGGTCTGGAAGGGGAGCATCCTCTTCGTCCCGCACCGGTGTCTGCCCAGCGGATGCCATCGGGGCCTGGCACGGGCTGGTATTCATCCTCAATGCTCTCACCGAGATGCGATCCACCGGATGGGAGGTCCCAAGTTCTTGACGTTGGTAGGTCGGGTCATCAGGTTCTGCCCACGGGTACAGGTCTTCATGAGCTGAGTACCCAAATCCTCGAGAACCCCTGGCGGTTGAGGACAGCTCTTCCACGCAGTTCACCTTCACCTCCAATATCTTCTCAACCACCAGCTGCGCCACTCGGTCGCCCTTGTAAATCCTGAGGTCCACGTCGGAGTGGTTCCGCAGGAGCACCTTGACCTCTCCCCTGAAGTCCCGGTCGATCACGCCAGCTCCAGTCTCAATTCCCCGGATCGCCAACGATGATCTTGGTGCCACTCTTCCATAGCTTCCTCTCGGAAGTTCCAGTGCGATGCCCGTCTTGATCAGCACGCTGTCTCCCGGCTGAACCATCGTCTCTATGGTAGAGTGTAGGTCCAGTCCCGCTGCCTGTTCGGAGCCTCGAGAGGGTAGGATGGCTTCTGGATGAAGGAGTTTCACCTTCAGCTCCTCCGCGGGTTTGAACCACCGCTGAACTCCTGCGGAGCCCACTCGAAGGATGATGTCCCCCAAAACCGCAATGGCTGCTGTCAGCAGCACCAAGATCCACCACTCACTGTTCCCCTCCTCCTTGACAGTCTCCGACGCCTCGGCCCTGGTCACCATGCTCGCCACCACAATCATCATTCCGAGAACCCTCTGAAATCTGGGGTCCGGCGTTCTTCCATTCAGCTCCATTCTCTTGACCTCAATGCTCTCCGCCTTCTCATCCATCATCCTCAACCTCAGGGACCTCTTGAAGTTCAGGAGCGGTTGCCCGGTGAGCTGCTTCGTCATGCCGTCCGCCACCAGCTCTGTCCCAGCTACATGTTCCAACGACACCTCCTGTGACTTCAGAGCCTCAGTCAATCCAGCCGCCCTGATCCTCAAGTGTCTCGTCCTCCACGATGATGTAGTCCCATTCGCGATGGCGATGGCTGCTGTCGAATCGGAGTGCAGTCTGACCTGGACCTTCTCTCCAAAGATCGCCTCCATCAACGATCCCGCCGACCTGCCACAGATCAGGCTTTCCAGCAGCGACATGAGTTCCGCCTCTGCCGTTGACAAGGTGATGAATGCTTGTCGTGTCGTATGCCAGGTGATCGGCGTGCCCCCAACACACACCACGACACCAGTCAGGCTCTTCATGTCCGATGAGGCGTAAGATGCATCCGAATACACCTCCACCCGGTTCCAGCCCTTCTCATTCTTCTCTTCCTCCTCAATGGCGCCGGAGATGTACAGCACCTCTTCCCTGGTCTGCCGGAGGTAGGCCCTCACCTGCTTCCCGATGGCCATCACCGCTCTCGGCCTCTTTGTGGCCCATTGACACATGATGCTCACCGCCAGGCAGACATCTGGCCTCGTCCTCCCCGCCACCCATAGGAGTTCACCAGTTTCCTTCTGGGCCTGGGTCACCTCAGTCAACTGCGGGCTCTCTTCCTCCTCCGGGGTCTTGATCTGGTTCAAGGATGCCCTCCCCTGCTCATCGTACTCCATGAACAGGCTCTCCAAGTACGCCCGCTGGTGGATGGCGAAATCCTGGCCCTTCTTCTCAATCTCCATTCCCAGGAAGCGCACCGGTTCTCGGCCTTCTCTCACCCACTCCGGTTCCCCAATCCTCCAGTGCATCTTGACCTGGTCAATGAACCCCTGGATGATCTCCTCTTCGCCCACCTCAGTACGTCGTCCACGTACGTGGCCACTGCGCCCTTTGTGGTCCAAGTGCTCTGATCATCCTGTTCCTGTACCAGCCAGATGTCCGCCTGAGGTGTTGCTTGCACCCTCACGGGTCTCCCTTCTCTCATCCACTGGAAACTTCTGATCTTCCCATCTCGGTGGTCACACCAATCCCGTGGAGAGGTCACTAACCCGTAAAGGGCTTTCTTGACAAGCCACAACTCCTTCTGATCTCGAAGCACTCCCGCCTCCTGAAAGATCCGTGGCGGTTGGACTACCACCACCCCACGGTCATGGGCCGCTGGGGCGTTGAGGAACGCCGTCTTGACGTCAAGGGTGCTGAGGGCCCACTGGTTGATCGCCGCCAGCTTGATCAGCGTCCTCACCTCGATTCCACTGGCACCGGAAGCGAACGTGGACTCAGAGCTCTTGGCATGCATGAAGTTTCCGCATGCATGAAGTTTCCACATGCTACCCCCCGGCACTTGTGTCTTCCTGTGCCTGCCTTTCGACTGAAGATGGCCTTTGCTGGCACCAGGTCAAAGTCCCTGCCCTGCGCCCTCGCCTCCTCCTTCAACCGATCCGACTCCGCTTGGCTAATGGCCTCTACCGCCTCCGACTCATCGGTCAGCGCCACGTACTCCTCGACCATGGATGGCTTCCACTCTCCCAGGTTTCTCCTCACCTCGGTCAGGCCCACCATTCGCGTTTGCAGGAACTCCGGGGCCTCCTCCAATTTCTCCTCGATCTCGGTGACCCTTTTCCTCTCTTCCTGTCGGCCGGCTTGAACGGCTTCTTGGCTGATCTCCTCGATCTCCATCGTGAGAGCCTTCAGAAATCTCTCATTCCTGACCTCTCCGGAGTCCTCTTCCAGAAGTTGAAGCTCCTGAGACAGCATTCTCGCTCCCCGATGCTGTAGCTCCCCCCCAGTCTACGGACTCCATCTCCGTCTCCACCTGGAGGAGTTTGACCTTTCCACGGGTCCTTCCCGGTCTTTTCCGTGGCTGCTGGGTCTCCTCTCGGTCATCAACCTCATGAATCACTCCAGCTTCTCGATCTGGTAGTTCCACTCCTCCTGGCATGTCATCTACCTGGATAATGTCCGCGGTGTGGAACAGCTTTCCCGTGTCGAGCTCCTCCACGAAGTATCCCGGTGAGGTCATAGACATGGTGACCGCTGGGCAGAGAACTCTCACTTGGGTTCTGGTCGTGGACAGGTATTTCTGGCGATCACTGTACAGCTTCCTCTTAGCCCAGACCACCTGACCAAAGGTCGCCAGCTGTCGCCGCTTCCACCCCATGGACTCCAGTTGACTTCTCAGTCGAGTGTCTGCCCAGTGCCTCGAAGCATGACACCAGTAGCTCTCATCAAGACCTGCCGCTACCAGTAGGGTTCGTGCACCACGTTTCAGCTGAGCCACTGCTCCCTCTGCACGGCCATTTCCTTTGAAGTTGTCTCCATCGGTGAAGGTGCGACATATACTTCTGTCTCGTACCCACTTGTCAAACATCTTGCTCTGGTACTCGCCTGCCCGATCAGAATGCAGACGCTTGACAGGGAGACCCAAGAAGGTCAACTTGGCCACCATTCGTCCCACTGCTTCCAGGACTGCCGACGCACCCCGTTTCTCCATGACCTCTGCAAACGTGATCTGCTTGACCTGGAAGTCCTGCTCTGGCTCCACCAGTGAAGCCCACTCCTTTTCATCGTCCAGGCCTGGCCAAGGTCCTTCCCGTTCGGGATCTTCTTCTCCTTCATCAACTACCGTGAGCTCCGGTCCTTCTCCTTCAGCCCCTTTCAATTCATCCTCTTCATGGATCGGGATGAGCGATTGGCCACCCTTGGTCACCGGAACCAGGTAGACTCCCACCAGCACAAAGCGACCCTTCCCAAGTTGGTCGTCCGCCAGCATGAACGGTCCTGCCGTGTCGATTGACAGCGTATAAGCTTCAGCATGTGGGATCCTCTTGTGCGCCTTGCCGCGTGATGCGGCGATGACGCAGGACTTGCATTCTCTATTGTAGGGCAAATGCCCGTTCAGAAGGTGTCTTTTCCAGGCATCCAGATCCATTCACTTCGCCAGGTACACCGGGGAGTCCAACGCCTCTCGAATGGCGGTCGCCAGTGCCTGCTTCAACCCAGGCGCCCATGCCGACCAGTCTCGGCTCTGCTTGATCCTCTCCGTCAGGTTCTCCGCTAGGGCCGCATCTCCTCCACTCCCATGTCCCCGGATGTCCTGCAGCTCGGCCAGCCTCGGGATGTTGGTTCCCAATCGCGTGGGTTTTCTTCTCGAGTGCCCCATGGGTCCTTGGTCGAAACTGACCTCCATCAGACCCCAGCGATCTCTGACTGCTCTCCATTCTGGCCAGCTCCAATAGGATGGGTACCTGCGGGCTTCCTTGTCCTCTGCCTTGAGATACTCCTCCGGGTCTTCAGGCTGTTCCAGTGCGGCCAGTGTCACCTTCGGGCTTCTAGCTAGCGCTGCTCGATGATGAAGGTACAACTGCGTCAGAAACAGGACCGTGTCATCCTCCACCTGCTTTCGTAGGTAGCGGTCCAGCTGTGGGAGACCAAACCGGTAAGGACCTTCACGTTCCCTCAGTGGTGGGGGTCCCGGCTGCTTGAATCTCAGTCTGCTCATCGTCCGGCATGGAGGTCCTCCCAACAATGCACACACCGTCCCACCATCCGCCAAGTCCAGCAGGTAGGAGAAGATGTCGTCTCGCAGGAGGTTCATTCCTTGGTCAATGACCGTGTCAATGCAGATGACCGCTCGACTTTCCGCCTCCAGTTCCTTTTGCCAAAATCTCTTTGAATCTCCGCTGAAGAGGTGGATCACAACCTCCTTGGACCTGCGGACTCTCCTTCTCTCATGCCTATTCCAAGGCAACCCCTCGCCGGTCCAGCCCTTCTTCGGGAGCAGCCTTTCGAGGATGTGGTGCGGTACCTCCGGGAAGAGGTCCTTCAGCTCGGACAGATACTTCGCCTCCTCGGGGTCCACTTCCAAGCCGATGTTCTCCCCAGCCAGATGTGCCAGCCGGGCCCTCTCCCTCACCATACTTCGCTCGATCTCCTGGATCAGCTCATGAGCCAGTGTCTCATCAATCGTAGGGCACGAGTTCTCCACCTTCGTGTCTAGCACCAGTCCGGTGGGGTCCGTGAGCTCAAATCTCGTCTTCTCCCAGACCGCCTCATAGCCCAAGGAAATGAGCACCCCCAGGGGGACGATGACCTGTACATCCTCCTTGGTCAGCAAGGTTCTCGTCCACGGGAGCAATCTCAAGACCGCTGACCCGGCCGCCAATTCTACGTTGACCTCTTGGGCGCTCGCCCACTCCTCTTCTGATGAGGTTCTCCTCAAGCAGTGCGTGGCCCCTCCATCCAGAAGCGCTCTTCCACCTTCTCGAACCTCGAGGCTGCTTAGCCGAATGGCCTTCATCGACGAACATGGTCTCAAACTCTTCAGCAAAGTCGTCGCTTCACTCAACAGGTCCTTCATCTCTCCTGAAGTTCCCGCATCGCTCCCCCCAGTCTTGGGCCCAGCCTCCACTGTGTCCCCCTTTGCCTGGGCGGTCTGAACCTTCTCCTTGACGGACTTCACAGCCTGCTTCTCCGGCGACTCCTTCGATCTCAGCTTCACAGTCGGGCAGTCCTTCTTCGAATGGCCAGTTCCCGAACATCCGAAGCATCTTCCTTTCTTGTCGAGGCCACCCCATTCATGTTTGAAGCGACACTCCTGACCCTTTCTGCACCCATCATCAGTGCCCCAGAACCGACAGACTTTCTCCTCTGGCTTGCCGTCCAGGCGCCCCTTTCCGGTGCCCTTTTCTCCCTTTTCTTCAAGCATCGCCGTCATGGCCTTGACCTTCGTCGTAGGAGCAGTGACCGGTTTCACCTCCGGAGCCGGCTGCAACTCACTGATGGCCAATGATTCGGCTTCTGCCGTCAGCATGTCAGCGAAGCTCAGGACAGTCTCCAGGGTTGGGGTCACGTCCACTCCCAGGGTTGCCCTTGTTGAAGACATTCGAAATGCCACATTGGACGTTTTCCCAACCAGCTCCGACATCTTATCCAGCGCTCCGAGCAACAAGGTGGCATCCGGAGTTGCGATCTCGAGCTCCTGTGCCCTCCTCAGACTCCGTCTCCATCCCCGAAGTGCCTCCGTCACCTCGTTCATGCTCTGGGGTGCCTTGGGATCGACCAACTGTCGAAGCAACCGGGACCTCTCTGCCAATCCTCCAGGTTGGTATCTTCGAAACAAAGCGTAGAGGACCTCCACCGAACTGGTAGTCCTGCTGGCCAAAATCTCCGCCTTGATGCTCTGCGGCACCGCGTTAATCAACATCAGCTGACCTCGCTGTTCGAGTCGGCTCCAAACCCCGGAGCACTCAGCCGGAAGCCTTGGCCTGATGTAGAGTCTCTGTACCGGCTCTGCTTGAAGCCATTCGCGGTACGCCACCATGGCGAAGTTCAGCACATCCTCCCACCACTTCCAGCTTGTGGCACTTAAATCCTTCATCGTGGGCGTCACCAACTGGATCCAGTCTCCAAGGATCAACGAACCCAGATCCCCTTCTCGTAAGTCTTGTAGAGGTGGTAGTTCCACTGACCGAATCACCTCCGCCCCATGTCCCTCCGTCGGGCTCGTGCCAAGCTGTCTCAACACCGACTGGGCTGCCTGCTCAAGAGGAGACCCCTTGATCAACTCCTTCAAGCCTTCCCCATTAGCACCACCCTCTCGATCTGCTTCTCGGAGGCGTCCATCACATAGTCCCCACCCTCCGACACCCCAAGAACCGGGCACTTCAGGAACTCCCGAACCCCGAGGTACTTGGTCTCTCCTCATAGTGTCACCCTTCACGGATACCGGGAACTCTGGAATCTGCAAATCGGCCCACGCCTGACTTGAGTTCTCTTTCTGTCCCTTCACTGGTGTGCACGGGGGAGGATCTTTCGGAGGTGAAGGCGGTGGAGTAGTCGTCGGAGGTCTCGGCGCATCTTCGATCGCTCCCTTCGGCTTCCCCTTCGACTCCTTGACCTCCTTTCTCAACTCCCCAACCTCCTTCTTCAGGGCGGCATTCTGTGCCATGACTGCTCGGAGGAGTTCCTTGATGTCCATTGAAACCCCCCGTTCTTCGTCAGTGGGCTCCACCCTTCCCGAAGACTGGGGCCCATCAGCTTCTCCATCCGGCAACGCGGAAGGTCGCATAGCCCTCAGTCTCGCCTCAGCCTGCATCCGCTCGCTCCAGAAGGGATTGATCTGGACGGCCTTGGAAGCATCACCTTTTCCTTTCCCAGGATGCTCACCTCGACGTTGAGGCCCATATAGCTCATGGGCGGGCCGTGGGCCGGCACCAGCGCCGTCGAAGCTGGCACCAAAGCGTCAGTGGCATCCTCCAGGGCCAAGATCTCTTCTTCCTTGGCACTCTCCATCGACCCTTCTTCTGGCGTGCTAGCCGCCTTCGCCGCCCCAGCCGCGCCAGCTGCGCCCGCTGCCGCACCAGCCGCCGCGCTCGCCCCAGCGCCGGCCGCCCTCGACGGCATGGGAGCCAACTACCGACCCTTCCACGTGAAGGTATCGGGTGGTCTTCAGACCCGGTCCGTTGGGCTCATAACCTACGAGAGCGCGTCGCTCCTTTTCTGCTGGTAAAAAGGGCTTCAGGTGCACCTAGTCAAACGTTCGTGACCCAGTTGGAAAATGCTACTCTTGATCATAGCCAAAAGGCCTTGACCTAGCAAACCGAACTTGGTACACTTCTTCATTTGTGCGGGCTTCCACAGAACCAATCCCTATAGGTTTTGAGGGACGAAGGGCTGTTTGGAGCGTCTGGGTGTTTACGCATTCTTTTTTAATACAATGCATGATGTAAAAAAAAACCTCCAGGTTTCACACATCCAAAGTGGTTGCTGTACACTCACACCCCTTTTTTTTATTGTGTGGCCTTTGATTTGGATTGGATTTGCTATGCTGCAGCTCTCCCCTTCTGAACTTGAAGGTCTGATTCGCAGTATTCTGAAACCTGATTAGGCCTGTATTGGTTGATCAGTTTTATCATCTAATTGTAATTCATTTGTATATATATATATATATATACTAGCTATATTGAAGATAGACATTCCAAACAGCCTGCTCCCTCAAAAACATAGAAACCCTGAGACACCATGAAACACCCAATGAAACAGCACCAGACCCTTTCAATCCAACGCCCCTACACCTCCGTTGTCGTACCCTCCTCCGGTTCGGGCTCACCCACTTGGGCCCCCCCAGTCCGGAGGCGCCCGCGCCGCCGGTGACGGCCGTCGCGGCGCCTGGAGTGGACTTCGGCGGCGAGACGCCGGGTGAAGGCCGAGACCGGGCGGGAGGGGGCAGGGAGAGGGAGGAGCAGTGTTTGATACCAGGACCCCACAGTTGGGGGTGGTGAATGGGGTGTCCTGCTATATGTCCTGGTAGATATTTTTTACTTCACCATCACTCTCAAAGTTAGGGTGGTGATTGGATGGAACATCTACATCATCAGGGGGGGTCTATACGCTACCCTTGTGGTTTGTTTTTTTTGGTGGGGGTTTATGCTTGGGAGACGTGACCAAATGGACAGACGACCGGACAGGGACTCAACACCTTCGAAGCTGACTCAGCAGCGATGAATCCAGCGGTGACTGGACAGGCACCTTCCCAAGCTCGGTCGGAGTCCACGTCAACCGGTGATCTGGCGCCATGTCGACCGGTTGTTCGGGCCTCTGAGACCTAGAAGCAGTCACTGGGATCCACTTAGATGGATCTCCAGTGGCGGGTTGGCCAGAAAGGCCCGGAACCAGCGGGTTGAGACGCGACGCGTAGACGGGTCGGTGAGTCGATGCCGCCGAAACAACGGCATGAAACAAAGGCCTTGGGCCTTAGCCTTCACGTCGGAGTGGTTTTGAGAAGCATCTGGTGAGTGGATGTGATAGGGGCAACCCCCTACTTGTGCCCTCCAAGTTCGGCACCCCTTTTACGGCCAAGTCCTGCGGTGTACGTTGTTGGTTTACGGGTTGGCCATGGTTGGCAAGGCCTGGCAAGACCGGCTGCAGCTGCAGCATTACCAACTGGACCCTCCTGGTCGTTCGGTGGGTGGTTTCCCGTTCGTGCGGTGCCCAGCTGAACCTCGGAGGGTCCGGCGTATGGGCCGTTGGTTCGGGTTGGTTCGGGTCCGGCGCCCGTTCCGTTCTGGGTCAGGTCACCCTCCAGGTCGGACCAAGAGAGGTTGAACAGCCTGAAAACGCCCATCCCTATACGTACCACTATGGGGTCCTAGTTCAGGTCTCTCAACCTCTCTTGGGAGGGTCCAATGAGTCTGGCCTGCATCACCCCTCACCCTCATGTACCTCCTATCGTCCCAGGCGACATCGCCGCGCTGGTGATCGCCACTGGACGAAATGTCCAGAGCCTCCAGAAGACCTTACGGCCGCGCGGACGAAGCAACGGGTCGGAAGGTTGGTCGTCCACACCGGTGGCGGGAACGGGAGGGAACGGTCGGAAGCCGATCCTACCTGGACCCTCCGACCCTCGGGGTGTCCTGGCTGGACTACCCCACACTACCGGCCGTTCGGCTTCCAGACAGGGCACCCCGACTGGAGGGTCCTGGTATAGGGTCTCAATTCAAAACCCATTCTTTTTCCCGCCTGAAATCGCCCCTTTGCGCTCGCCCAACTCGTCCTGAACACTTTGGATCAAGTTTCGTGTATGTTCTCCACCCATCCCGACACCATCGAAGCTCACGGGCGCCCCCCCCTCCAAAGACACGAGACACCACATCCTGGTGCCCCCACCACACCTCCTTTCAGCGCCTCCCTGCTCCCCGCGGCCGCGCCCGGACCCACGTCCAGACCAAAGGTCGTTGCTCCGCGCCGGCTTTGGCACCAACGCCGTGCTGGTCTCCCAGAGCGCGCCAGGCGCGGTTGGCGCGAGAGTTTCGAGTTTCGTGGTGCGAGGGAGCGAGGACGTTAGTCGGGTCGAGATGGTAGTCCGAGCAGAGGTTTGAAAGAAGCAATCAATTGGGTGGGTGGATGGATCGAGGGGTAGAAGCAAAATTTATAGTTTATAAGCACTAAAGGTCACTATAAGGTTATAATCACGGTTTCAATCCTGGCAGAATGGTTGCATCATAACCATGCATGTGCCCACCAGGACCCTCTAAGGGGTGCCCAATGGAAGCCTATAGGTAGTGTGGGGTAGTCCATTGGACACCCCTTAGAGGGTCCTGGCAGAGTGTGTACCAGTTTTCTTCGGCCATATGGTACCCCAAAAAGATCGTTTCACGGGGCCAAGCTCACGCGCGCCGCGGGTCTCGACCGGTAGAGCTCAGGCGCCGCGGGTCTCGACTCGGCCAGGCGAAGCGTCTCGGGAGCTCTGCGGAGACCTGGGCATCGCCTGGGCCGGGCCCTCGCCCCACCTGGACGTGGCGACCTTCGACGGCGAGGCGCGCCGCGTTGCGGGGAGCGTGGGCGGCAGTCGGCAGTCTCAGACAGGACGGGTTTGGGATGTAAAGAACAGCCAGGAAGTTCCCGGGGGGCCGAACCGTGACATCCACGAAGGGTTGAGAGGTTGAGAGGTCGCTTCACGTTCGGACCCCGGTCTGTGGTATACGTATGAGATGGGCGACCTTTTCAGGCTGTGAAAAACCTCTCTTAGTATTCAATGCAACCAGTTTCGAAGCACTCCGACATGAAACTGCATGGCTGTGTTCTTCTTGAAAAGAAGACTCACCAGACCCGTCAATCGGTTCAGAACGAAGGAACGCCTGAACGGATGGAGTGACCAGGCTTGTACATTGAAGGAGCGGACGCCCAGTGAATCCACCCTTTCCTGCGCTGTTACGTCTGATTGATGGCCTCCGAAAAAAGAACAAACCGAAACGACTACAAGCACCCGAAAACTACCAGGTCAACAAGGGCTCGAGCTGTTATCCTTCCCAACCCTCGAACGATGAGACCCTGTGCTGCTATTGTTCCTTCTTTCCATGCAGGGTGCTTTCGAACAGTTTTCCGGAATGACTTACCACCTGGAAACCCGAATCCTTTCTCTTTTCGGAAGTGCTTGGGAAAACGATCCATGTGTTGTTGGGACTGGGTGCGGAATGGCTGGCACCTGACTCGCCCTAACGGGCCACCCGGCCGACCGCGGTAGAGGACAGCCGTCGAAGAAAAACGCCAGGCGAAGAATAGGGCCAGGGGCGTCTCTCCCCCTACCAAGAGAGGTTGAGAGACCTGAACTAAGACCCTGTAGTGGTACATATGCGATGGGCGACCTTAGGGCTGTCCAAGCTCTCTTGGTATTTGCAGCTACACCATTCAACTTTGGACGTTCTTTGTTTCCGGAACATCTGGATCACACTATCACATTGATTAGACTCTGACCGATAGTGGCTTCTTTCCAGTCCCTCTCCCCCCCTTCAGGCAGGAAGCAGTCCCCTCTAACATGATCGACTCAGCAGTCTTCAACTCCGAGCTGCTTGAAAACACCATTCCAAGACCTCCAAGAGCCAAAGAACTTCCAAGAGAGGTTGAGAGACCTGAACTAGGACCCCATAGTGGTACGTATGGGATGGGCTATAAGGCTGTTCAACCTCTCTTGGTTTCCTGGACCATCCTCTGTCTGTCTGGACGCCCCGATCTCCACTGATCTTGTTCGGGATCGGCGTCGCACACCCCAAGAGAGGTTTTTCACAGCCATCCCATACGTACCACAGACCGGGGTCCGAACGTGAAGCGACCTCTCGACCTCTCTTGGCCCGATCTGGCCGCCGGCGGCTCCCCCCGCACCACAACTTCCGAAGCCTTCAGCGAAGCCTTCGCCGCGGAAGCCAAGCCCCTCCTCCGTGGGGGTTTCGCGGCCGGGTCGGCCGTGCGGCTGCGCGAAGATGCCAGGCCGATCCGTGGGTTCACTACGGGAGATCCTTGGATCACGCACCTCGGATCGGAATGCGGAGAGGTTGAAGAACCACCCAGACGCGAGCCCTGGGCCCGAACCTATGGAGGGGTCGGACCCGAATCCTCTGGAGGGGTCAGGGGTCTCAAATACGGGGGCAAGTCCGCGCATGGAAACGCGCCGCGTTTCACGCGGAGGAAAGAGATCTTCCAACTACCAACAGAGGTTGAATGGCCCTAATAGACTTATATACCATGATTAGGTACCCCAGTGGGGTCCTAGTTCAGGTCACGAACGACCTCTCTTGGTATAAGCAACATGTCTGCCGAACTTGGCTGGTTTTGATTGATGCAATAGGGCAGAACATGAAAGCACCAGTTGGAAGATCCAGGCACAAGGGATCAAAATGGTATACTTCCGATTTGAAAAGGATTTGATATACCCAAAAATGGTGGGGTGAACCTGGGGGGCCCCGTGCATCTCTTTCCGAAAGACCGGGCGACAGATTCCAGGTCCCGCGATGCTTCTCCATCATTCGCCCCTGGGAATTCTCAGTGACGCTATGGAACACTACCCATCCTGTTTTTTTGGGGGGGGTGTCCTGACTATCCAGCCCACTATCTTTAGTAATCTCCAACACCCAGACTACGCATGGCCCAGGTCATTTGAGGCACACTCTATGTTTGCAAAGCATCTGCCAGCCTCCAACAGGTCACCTTGGGGGTCTTGGGCCCCTCGAACAAGGAGACCCTGAGGCCAGTTGGATACCAGGGCCTTTAGGGCCCATGGGGTGGAGAATGGACATCCCGAATCACCTCCACCAGCACCCGAGACCTGCCAGGTCACCACTGGTTCGACCTGAGAGGGCCAGGCCCAACCCTCCATTTCGGAGACCTGTTGGTCGTCGGGGCTGGGTTTTTCAGGGGCTATGATCCCAGACACTCCATGGGACTGCCATATATGCCGCCCCATTGACCCCCCCTGGCACCATCCCAACTGATCGGCAAATATGGCAGTCCCATGGAGTGTCTGGGGATTAGACTCCCCAAGAAGACCCGGGGACCCAGGTACTTGGACCCGTTGACCTGTCTCTGCAGCAACGTTCTTCTATCAGACTTCCCCCCCCCCCCACTCCACAGCTGAATCTCCACGGTGCCCTGTGTGGACTTCCAACAATCTATCCCAGGCACAGCTCGGTTCCTTTGGTACAAAAAACCTTCAAAAACCCATGGGATGGGCCAACCAATCCATTCCGCGCCCCTGTCGCTCGGAATGCCGAAAGACGCGGCGCGGAAAACGGGCCGTTGTCCGACGCGCGGAGCGCTTCACGAGCCGAGGCCAAGAAGCACTTCGCAGAGCGGGACTTCCGCTCTCTCTTCATCGCCGAGGAAAGCACCGGGGAGGTCACACGGACCCTGCAGGGTCCCGTTTCGCGGAAGAGCCGGAAGGGGACCCTGTGAGTTCCCAGGTTGAAGAACCCGAACTAGACTATCCTAGTTCGGTACCCCTGTAGGGTCCAAGTTCAGGTCACTTAACCTCTGTTGGTCACGACATCTCACAACTCACCCAGACACGACCAACACATGGGACGACGCGACCGTCCGGACTGCCGAGTTTCACTCAGGGCCGATGGGGTGGTGCCAGGGGGGGTCGACCTCTGGGGCGGCAGAACGGACTGGCAGTCCCAGACAGGTCGCGTCTGGGTCACATCTTTCATGTCCCTATACGGGGACAGGTGGTGAAGAATGACTTCCAGAGTGGGGTGGGGTTAGTGAGCCAAGTGACGGAAGTTCTAGGGACGGAACACAGCTGCCGTCAGCTCTAAAATCTTCACAACTCCATAGGAGGCTAAGCCAGCCGGAAGCGGCTGTGAGGCGAACCACAGACTCCAGACGCCCACGTTCGAACGAACGATCGCTGAGGGTATCTGGTAGGTGCCCGAGCTGCAATCCCTAGCTGCAAACTGCAAAGGATGGCCGAGTTTGGGAGCCCCAAAAGATGCTGCGACATGTTGTCTCCATGGCTTTTCGTCCAATGCCTCTCTTTTTTCACCAACCCAGACGCTCATGATCCCTCAGACTCATATGGAGGGGTCGGACCCTCATATGGAGGGGTCTGGGGTCTCAAATCCCTAGGTTTTGAGGGACCAAGGGCTGTTTGGAGCGTCTGGGAACATCAAGTCCTGCCATGACTCCTGTTTTTGGTCCAATCCACCTTGATCTGCTTTCTGTTGCTTGCCTTACGGTGTAGTAGTGCACCGACCGACGATACCAAAAAGACAGTCCAACGAACGTGGCAACTCCCTGAACGCAGAGGGGAAGAGCTGCTCTTCCCGGCCTGAGGCGGACGTGCATCTCTTGCTGTGCATCTCTGGAAGCCGTGTTTCCATGTGTTTCCTGCTTCAGACACTGCCGCGATGTGTCTGGAGACGAAGACTATATTGGCTTTCAAAAAGTCTGTTGGGGTTTGCATCGAGTCATTTCCACTGAAAAGGTCAGAATGGCAACACTGAATCCACCTCCACATGCAAGTCTCTGCAGTTGTGTGACTCTTTGCTTTCGAAGGTTCGTCTTGCTGAATGAGCACACAAAGTAACACCACTCAAACAACTAAATGCAAAGAAACCTGGCGCGGAAACACCTGGGACGTCCGTGGGCGCACGTACGTGGGAACAAGCCGGATCACATCCAGGATCTATAGGTCAAAGGCCAACAGAGGTGGGTGGAAGGCCACCCGAGGCCCTTCGACGAACTACCAGTTGGGTAACCCCAGGTTTTCCGGTCCTAGTGACTTGGTCACGTTCCGCCCTTGGAACGGGCTTAGAACGACACGTTTCCCAGCCGCCGATCTTGGTGCATCGAAGATGCCAAAGAAGATGGGTCCTATTCGGCTTTCAATTCTTGGCACGCATATGTCTTTGCAGAAGGATACGCAGCATGCAGTCACTAATAGAGATCGCCTGGTGGCTTTTAGGCAGTGCTGATGGCTTTTGGAAGGCTAAAAGCTTCCTCGCGGATAGTCCCATACTGCGATATGTTGCGTAGATTTTCACTGACTCCTCGAATTCTCATTTAGGGAAAATTGGACTGGGGCAGTCCGATACTTTCTTCCCACGGGCTTCTAGGTACGCTGTGTTTGTGTTTCATAATACCCAGAATATAAATGTTTGCAACTTCCCGGAGAACCCTCTTTTTCGATCTCTTTCGATACGGATCGCTCGTGGGGTGAGACGTCTTTATAAACGTCTTCTAGACCGCGCGGACCTCTCGAACTGGTCACTCACGTGCGTTTGGCCGCCGTTTGAGTGTAGAATAGAGTCCTCCTTAAACATGTTCTCTTGGGACCCGGGATGCCAGGCACCGAAGAAACCTTTTTTTTTTGGAGGTGCTCCTGGGAACCCTGTTCACGTCCTGTTCCTGGACGAACATGAACGTCCCCCACCTGGAAGTCAATCCATCCACCATCGAGTACTTGTGGCGGATGTTCAGAGCTCAGAGATGGCCAGCTTTCCAGATTAGATCGAGAAAACGGGTTCCAACGATTTCCTCATGAGGATAGGATAGGTGTTGCCACTCACTCTATGGCGAAGAAGACGAAGATGTGTCCAATCATATAGATTGCTCTTCAAGGCTAGTCAGCAAGCAATCAGCTCAAATAACAAATCCAAGTCGTCTTTGAGCCATGGCGACGCAGATTGCAGCGCTGCAGCCAAATGGTGAAAGCCTGGTTCTTGAAGTCACGCCAGAGACAACAGGCCAAGCGCTCAAGCAGCAGATCAAGGAGAGAAAGTCTTGGGACGAGCTGACCCGGAGCACTACAGGTGTGGAGATCATTGTCGGAGACATCCACTTACTGGCCCATGATGCAAAGGTATTGGATGCTGGAATTGCTGAAAGTACAGTTGTGAGTGTTGTCTTCAAGCCAAACGTTGTGATATGCTCCAATAAAAAGAAGATCGCCAGTCTTGGCGGCATCGTTGACCCAGAACTGTTTCTTGTGGTCGAAATTCCATATGGTGAAACAGCAATTTGTGAAGGGGCTTTCAAGTTTTGCACCACATTGGCCAAAGTGACCATCCCGGACTCAGTGACCCACATCGGGGATTTCGCCTTCGAGGGTTGCAGCTCTTTGGTGAACTTGATCATCCCAGACTCCGTGACACACATTGGGATTGGTGCCTTTCGGGGTTGCAGTTCTTTGGTGGACTTGACCATCCCCAATTCTGTGACCCACATTGAGGATTGTGCTTTTCAACACTGCAACTCCTTGGCAAACTTGACCATGCCGGACTCGGTGGCCCACTTTGGGAATGAGGCCATGGCAGGTTGCAGCTCTTTGGTCAACTTGACC